CTCACTGTCTATAACTCTACCTCTCAAATGAATAAATAAAATCAAAAAAGAAAAGAAAAGATCAGGGAAGGTGAAGGTGAGGTAATGGAGGACTTAGAGGTGAGAGGGTTGGAATCTGGGGAAAATTGAGGATTTTAAAAAGTGTTGTGGGTTTTACATTGCACACTCTTGGTAAAAGCAGAGATTGGCATGATTTTAGTCATGTCACATTTGGTTACTGGCTGCATGGGACCCTAGGATTGTTTATATACATACATGTACAATGAAAAGACTAGAAAGAAAGAAACCAAAACATTAGAAGTATTTAATCTGCATTAGTGGAATTTGGGAGTATTGACCCTTTTATGTAAGTTTTGATTAAAAACCTGTAGTAATAGGAGTGTCAATTTGTAAAGTCAACAATAGGAGTCACTGTGCACTTACTCCTCATGTAGGATCTCTGTCCTTAATGTGCTGTACATTGAAATTTAATGCTATAACGAGTACTCAAACAGTATTTTTCACTTTGTGTTTCTATGTGGGTGCAAACTGTTGAAATCTTTACTTAATGTATACTAAACTGATCTTCTGTATATATAGAAAATTGAAAGTGAATCTTGATATGAATGGAAGGGGAGAGAGAGCGGGAAAGGGGAGGGTTGCAGGTGGGAGGGAAGTCACCGGGGGTGGGGGGGTGGGGAAGCCAATGTAATCCATAAGCTGTACTTTGGAAATCTATATTAATTAAATAAAAGTTAAAAAAAAAAACCTGTAGTAATTGGCAGGAGCATTGTTGTTTTAAGAGGGCAAAAATAGCACGAATATTTTCAATACAGCGGCCTGGATAGACTGAGTTGTGTAAGCTTAAGAAGTGGAGGGGGCAGCATTGTGGCACAGCTGGTTAAGCTACCCCACAACACCAATCAGGCATTCCATATTACCACCAATTCAAGTCCCACTGCTCCTGCTCCTCTCTTTTTCTTCTTGTATTTATTTATTTACTTGAAAGGAAGAGTTACAGAGAGAAGAGACAGAGACAGAGAGAGACAGAGACAGAGAGAGATCTGCCCTCCACTGGTCCACTCCCCAAATGGCTGCTATGGTGGGAACCAGAAGCCAGGAGCTTCTTCCGGTCTCCCATGTGGGTTCAGGGGTCCAAGCACTTGGGCCATCTTCTGTTTCCTTCCCAGATGCATTAGCAGGGAGCTGAATGGAAAGTGGAGTGGTTGGGACTTGAATTGGACCCATATGGGATTCCAGCATCCCAGGAGGCAGCTTTATGGGCTACTCCAAAGCACCTGCGTGCCCCCATTTCTGATCCAGCTCTCTGCTAAAGTGCCTGGGAGGAAGGAGATGAAGGTCTAGGTGCTTAGGTCCATGTGTTCCCCTCACGGGAGACCAGGATGGAGTGCCAGGCTCCTGGATTCAGACCTGGACCAGCCCTGGGCATTACAGTCATTTGAGGAGTGAACCAGCAGATGAAAGATATTCTCTCTCTCTCTTTCTGTAACTGCCTTTCAAATTAATAAAATAAATCTTCAAAAACAACCCAGGGATGAGAAAGTAGGTTTAGGTGACTTTTATGAAGCCTGGCTATGAATGGAAGAGACTTGAGCAAAAGCTTACAGACATCAGTGAATCTAAGACCGGAAGGAAGGAGCTTTTAGGATGGCAAGAACTGAACAGTTCAACAAACTAGACATCAAGTGTCCTGTCAGAATGCATTGCTTTGAAACATTTTCACCAGTTTACATTTAGAAGAGACAGAAGGACTTTCATGATATTTTATGGTATCTTTAATTAGCTTTGAGGTATTTTTCACTTGGTCCATATTATGCTGGGTGAGAACTGAGAGGCAACTTCCTCAGCTGAGGCTTAACTGGTCAAGGGTCTGACTTTCCAACAATCAAGAGGTTAGGGATGAAGTAATAAGGAAAATACGCTCTAAAGGTCGCTGCCCTCTAAAGAGGGGTGCTGTTCAGGGATGCTGATTGAGATCTGTGGAATCATAATTAAATTGGATGCACATTTGTTCATTACATTCTGAGATTTCAGGAATTAGAGGAAGACACATGATAAACACAGTTAGGCATGTGTCTTATGTGAGACAGTGATGGACTGGACTTAGGATAGCCACAGGCTGAATTTTAGTACATTGAAAGTTTGCTTTGATTTCTGGGTGATTGACTAAGGGCAATAAAAGCTTTTGGGGGACTAGTCCCCTGTCTTCCTGGGAGCGTACCAAGGATGACAGTGACGATAGCATACCCAGTGATGCTCACTATCGCCCAATGTCAGACTGGAGGAAACACCAGGCAAGGCTCAGGTCTTCACATTCCCAGAGGTGACTAATGTGGGTAGCTGGTGAAGCTGGTGATGTATTGGGTCTGCTCTGTGACAGGTGAAGACATGCTTCTCATACAGGCTGCAGTTGGAAACAACTGTCAGAGAGGTATCTAAATCTAACTTTCTCACACTTGCTTGGTGAGAGTCTGGAGCACATGTTTGAACGAGGTTAAGAGGAGGAAAGTGATGAATGCAGAATGTTATGGCTAATTAATGAAGCATAAAATTGGAAAGAGATATTGACTTGTCAAGAAGGTGTAAATGATGACAAAAGGATAGATTTTGCAAGAACAGTGAGGGTGTGTGCATCAGGGCAAGAGAAGCAGATGGCAGGTGACACAGGCCACAAGTTAGGAGGACGACAAGCCATTACCTTGATGGACCTGGTGTTCATGAAGATGTTTGTGAGGCATACATCTTCCAGTGTGTGTGAACACAAGGTCACAAGTAAACAGGGGAGATACTGGAGGGAAAGGAAAAACTTATTTGGTGGTCATAATATAGAAAATGTTGAAGGAATTCAAAACAGGAGAGAACTAACAAGTTCAAGGACAAATGCATAGCAAGGCTAGAATGGCAAGCACATGAAGAGGGAGAGAGAAACCAACATGGATTGAAGGTCTTCTAAAAAGCAAGTAGGTGTCTCTCTTTTAGCTCAAGCTTTATAATGAAGCTTCCTCAGTCTTCTCTGACAAAATGATGGTAACTATTTATGAAATGATGAATTAGGGGTAGGTGCTGTTGCATAGTGAGTAACGGTGCTACCTGTAATACTGGCATCCTGTGGGTGCTGGTTTGAATTCCGGCTGCTCCACTTCCCATTCAGTTCCCTGCTAATGAGCCTGGGAAAGCAGCAGAAAATGGCGCAGGTGCTTGGGCCCCTGTACTCGTGTGGGAAACCCGGAAGAAGCTCCTGGCTCCTGGCTTCGGATCGGCGCAGCTCTGGCCATTGCAGCCAGTTGGGGAGTGAACCAGCAGATGGAAGACCTCTCTCTCTCTCTCTCTGTCTCTCCTTCTCTCTGTGTAACTGTGATTTTCAAATAAATAAATAAATCTTAAAAAAAAAAGGCTGTATGATTTAAACCTGAAGTCTGCCAATGGACTTTTCCTGTAATATATCTTTTAGTCTAGCCAATGTTTCTCAAATGTAGTATACCTAAGAATTAACATTCAAGGCAGAACACAGAAAACCATGTATCCTATATTTTATGGATGACTTAAGGGATTTTCATAGAAAATTTCATTTGTGTTTAATTTTCATCTAATCTGCTAACCATTTTCCCCTTATCTGATGTGAGCTTGGGTCTACTCAAGAGAACTGTCAGAAATGTAATCGAAGATTCCCTGTGTCATCTGAAGAAAATAATTAGAAAACATATCGGGGCCAAATAACCTCTCACCCTCCCAAACTTAGCGTGTAATAAAGGTTTAGCTGGTGTTTCATCTGACCAGGAATTCTATGAAATCCCAGGTATCCATCTTTTATATTTTCTAATGGAATATGGAGTCTGGTAATTAAGCAGCTGTGTCTTTATTAATAAGAACAATTGGTATGACCATTGAGAGACATTAGAGCATTTGAGATGTAATAGGTGGGGCTCAAAAAACCAAAAATCTCAAAATGCGGTGTTTTGACCCTGGAGCTTCAGGAAAGCAGTCCTGAGACTGCTCTCAGGAGCCCTCTCATCTCTTCCTGTGCCTCCCTTAAGCAGAGGGAGATTCTCTCCCAGAAGTTCCTTTATCTGAGTGAGAAAACTTCTTCCAAAAGCAGTGCGACCGTTTTAAACTCCCTCCCTAGGAATCTCTTCCAATAACTAGGAAAGGTTAACCAACCACAGGAGAAGAAAGGATGCAAAATGGTCTCCACCCCCCCAGACAGGCTTCTCATGTAATCTGCTACAGGCAGCTGTAAGGGATGACCTGGGAGACCTAATCTGCTGAAGTTCTGCCGTCAGGCAACTTGTCCTTGTGTTCCCTATTTCCTTACCTCTAGGAACAAGGGCATAGAGGCACTTGGACCTCACTGGGTTGTTGGGTAATCACTCTCCTGTCATTTCCCTGGGCTGATGCACAGTAATAATACATTTGCATGCCTTTTCTCTGATTAATCTGTCTATTGTCAGTTATTGCAGGGTGAATGGAATTCACCTCTAGTTAACACAATTAGGAGTCAAGCAGATGCTTAGACAAAGGGCAGGGGACTGAGGCCCTCTAAGAGATGAGTGAGGAGGTAAACAGCTAAAGGGCACGGTTTGCCAGACGTATTCCTCACCCCACGGTGGTAAGTGAAATAGTTAGGAGCCCAGGTGAAGCCCAAGGACAAGGTAAAGCCGGGGTCCCCAGGTTGGCTGTTCAAATTGTGCCCTACACAGGCGCTCTGTTTGGCCCAAAGGAAAGGGAGTAGGGACTGGAAATCTGGCCTTGTGTGTCCTTGTCTGGGGACTGAATCTGTGGACTTGGAGGTTGTAGCAGGGACTACCTTTTTCTACTGTGTTCAAAGGCAATATGGGAGCCAGTAGGCAGCTAGGGAGGATGCCTCCTTCACACGTTAAACTTCACACAAGTTCAAAGATCCGTTATCTAGAGAGGGTATCCCAATTCTGAAATGGCTGTGATGCAGGCAATATTTTAAGATGCTAATTCACATTTTCTTTCCACCCTGGGTGCCAACTTACCAGTCCATATTGGAGAAGGGTAGGTGGCATTCAGACTGGTACTTAGTTCTCCAAGATTTTCATAATTAAGGGAAGAGATGGAATAGGTTAGGAAACCAAATGTATTTATGAATTCTTTTGGCTTTTTTTTACAAAAAGTCTAAGTATTTAGGGGAATATTTGCAGAGATTTGTTAGTATAGACAAAATGCCTTAGAAAAACAAAGGGGAAGCTATAGGGGGGAGATAGGTGGTGGAGCAGGGGAGAGGGGCACAGATGGAGATCTCAGAATAAAAATTGATATGGAATGAAAAAAAAATTTACCTGAAAATAAATTCTGAGACTTACAATGACCATTGTCCTTAAGCAAATACACCAAGATGGCTGAAGCAGAGTCATGGTTGTTTTGTACTACACAATGCAAAGCACCTTCCCCTGTATTGTCTCACGTGATCTTCACCATATCACTGAAGGCAGATGTTATCTTGCTATTTTACAGATGAAATGCCATGGCTCAAGGACACAGTAAATAGAAGAGCAGGAATGCAAACCTCTTTTCAGAGATGCCAGTATTGAATGTGTTCTCTAGATTCTGTGATAAGTTTAAAATACACCTCCCCCCAACAAACCCTATGTGCACAAATATATTCTGACCAGCTTATATAATTTCCATCCATCCAATTCACCTCAGTACTCACACCACTCTGGACTATCCCTGTGCTTGTCTACATACCATTAGGCAAAACAGACACAGGCTTACATACATACACACACACACAATCTAATTTCATAATTTCTACCCAGGTTTGAGCAAAACACCAGATACTTGAGCATCCATTTTAAAAAGCTCACCAATTTTTCAAAGATTCTAGCATGATTTAAAAATTTCTTTTCAAAGCTTTGGATTCATGGTGTGTTCCTTTCACCTGGTTAGGGTCAGGATCAACTTCATCCCAGTTGTGAGTGATATGGCCTTGGTCAATAGATTCAAAGGGCTTGTGAGAAACGGAAGGCAGAATCCTATACAGCCAGCTGTGGGGAGACAAGAACACACAGCCTTAGGGTAACATTCTGAGTAATACACAGAGTGGTTCAGGAAGTACCAACAGAAAGATACTCAAGTCAGCAACAGTCTGTGGGCTTTAATGTGAGAAGCAATGACAAGCAATGACACATTTATTTATTTGAGATAGAGATAGAGAGAGATTGCTCCTGTCTGCAAGTTCATGTCCAAAATGCCTGCAATGGCTGGGGTTGAGCCAGATCAAAGCCAGGAGCTGGGAATTCAATCCAGGTCTTCCTTGTGGGTGGCAGGAATGCAGTTACTTAAGCCATCACCACTGCCTTCCAGGGTGTGCACTAGCAGGAAGCTGTAGTCGGGAGTTGCAGCTGGGAATTGAATTCAGGTACACAGGTATGAGATGTGACCATCCTCACTGGCATCTTAACCTCTAGGGCATATGCCTACCCCAAGCATCACTTCTTACTGGCTATTTGCTGCCTAGAGTCCTGGGTCTTCTATCTTCTCTATCTACCACCTTTTAGATTGAGTTTCCAGCTCTTGGTTATTCCCATGCTGCCAAAAAATGAACTGTCTTTCCCCATGGCTATAAAAGAAGGAAAGGTACCTCGAGGAATACCAGTGCAGGAAAATCCATTTAATTGGCTTCTTTGTTAGTTTTGAAATATAAATCAGTTTTCTCCTTAAAAAATTTAAGAGTAATATGAGGAAACTTCAACAAGTTTGCAGTTAATGGAATTAAAAGCTTATCTTGGTTGTAAAAAATTTTGAAATCCAAAATTCTTATGAGCTCTATCACATGCCAAGGGTAAAAATAATTCAAGTAATTTTAAAAAGTTCTAAAAAGTGGGCTGGTGCTGTGGCATAGTAGGTTAAGTCTCCTCTGGCAGAACCAGCATCACATATGGGTGCTGGCTCAAGTCCCAGCTGCTCTACTTCTGATCCAGCTCCCTGCTAATGCACCTGGGAAAGCAGTGGAAGATGGTCCAAGTGCTTGAGCCCCTGCACCCATATGGGAGACCTGGAGGAAGCTCCTGGCTCCTGGCTTTGACCTGGTCCAGCGCTAGTTGTTGGGCTATTTGGGGAGTGAACCAGCAGATGGAAGACCTCTCTCTCTGTCTTTTCTTCTCTCGATCTGAAACTCTGCATCTCAAATAAATAAATAAATAAATAAATCTTTTTAAAAAGTTCTGAAAGGTAAATGACTCCTTCTCCTCCAATTTCTTCAAGCCATTGTACCACTTTACTCTTTTACCGACAATGTGGGAGAATGTCTGATCACCCACATTTCCCCAAACATGAATGTTATTGATAATTTTAGTCTTGTGGGTGAAAAACAGTATCTTATTTTATGTTTTCTTTATTAGGAACAAGGTTGAAAATCTGTTCACTGTGTATTGGCTTTTTATAATTTTTCCATGAACTATTTATACAATTCCTATAATGTTTTCAGCTGGGTTATTGTCGTTCCCCCTCTTCGTGGAGGAACGACACTAAACCCTGCCTAGGCTTCATATCCGAGTCACAGCACCATTATGTTGCTCCTAGGCTTCCTATCCGAGTCACGGCACCATTATGTCACTCCCCGTCTTCGTGGAGGAACGACACAGGACCCTGCGCTGTTCTTTTGTCTGCTCGGCCCTCCCCGGGTTTGCTGCTGGTTCTTCCCGGGTTGGCTACCGTCCCTTCCACCTCCATGGAAGGGCGGTTCCCCCTGGCCACTTTCCCCACTTCCGCAGGGGAGTGGCACACCGCCGGCCGGCTCTCTCAGGGGCTGCACAGGTGTTCCTTCAGATAGATGTTCCCCTTAGATGTTCCTGGTGCATGTTGTCTCTCTCCTCCTTTATAGTCCTCTTCCGCCAATCCCAACTCTGCTACCCACACGCCGAGTACGCTGCTCTCCTCCAATCAGGAGCAGGATCAGCTCCTGGAGGTCATCACTCAAGTTGGCAAGAGGCAGCTGCGTAGAAGCTGTTTTCTCCTCTCCCAGCGCCATATTGTGGAGAGCAGATGCATAGAATAAGTCTTAATTCCAGTAACTTAGTCTAGTCCGGGTTGCTCCCCACAGGTTATTTGACATTAATTTGTGAGAGGTTTAGGAAATGAACAATTCTGTGTTCCAAAATTATAAGATATATGTCCACATTTTGTTATAGTTTATTTTCAGCTTTGTTTTTTCTCTCTTTCTTATGTTTTGCTTTCTGTGTGTGTCAAGGCTTGACCAGAGGGCCCTCTGCCAGGATCAAATCAGGGGCTTCAGACAGGGAAGAATCCCATGAAGGAGACCATAGGGAGATCCCTTCAGAAGCTGGGGGATACTGAGACTCACTAAGATGGACTCCAGCCCTTCCAGAGACCATTATCCTGACAAGGTACAGAAGGTAGAAGGACCCTACTTCTGACCAAAGAAGACCAGACTAGGCTCTGGCCTTTTAAGATTAAGGAGCATGTACCTCAGGGAGTGGAGGTTGCCTGGCCCAACATTGAGCCAACTTGGGGATAACAGGATAGATTTGTTCAATTTCCACTTGATTCTTCCAGCTCTTTATAATGTGGCCTCAGACCTTGAACTTCAAGCCAAGTAATAAACTAAGCCCCTGCAACTGCCAATTGTATACAAGGTTGAGAGCATGTATCTTAGAACCTGCTGTGTGATCCTGGGCAAGTTATTAAATTCCCTGAGTCATCCTGGTCTTCATTCTTATCACTTAGGATTGTTGTGAGAACTCAAAGAGCTCATGTACCTAAAATACACAGTAATTGTTCACTTATTTGCTATTTGTTGAATTGTCTCCCTTAGTCATGGAATTTTATCATTGTCTAAATTTTCCACATTCTCTGTCCTGACTTTGACCTTCTCAGCTAGCTACTATAACAAAAATCAATCCCTGACAGATAGATAAATGATAGATGATAGACCATAGATACATAGATGGATAGATAACAGAACCTCTAATAGTTTAGTGGTGGCCCTATACTTTATGGTTTAAATGAGTAGTCACTAAGAGTTTCAGGCAATAGGAGGGGTTGGCCTTATCTTCCTATAGGGAATTTTGAGCATTTTCACAAATTTTTTCTGGATACCTTTGGAAAGTTCTAAACAGATGGGTGAGCCATGCCTAGTGTCCCTTATTTTTTTTTTAAGCTGAGTTTATAAAACTCCCCAGGCAGCACTACATCGCCCTGGACAGAGATTTAATTCTGATTCAGGGAACGGTGCCAGATTCTTAATGAAATGCCAACAGCTCCTTTTCAGCCTCCTGGAACAGAGCTCAGCTCCTGCTGGCTGCAGATATTGCTGAATAATGGGGGCAGGCGGCAGAATCCGGAGACCAGGTGGCCTGTTAGTGGATGGGCCATAAAGTCAAGAGCAGAGTCATGGGGGCCAGGCTGTCATAAATTAGAAGGGACGGGAACTGTCTGTGTGCTTTTCTTACCTTGTCTCTTTGGGTTTACAAAGAGAGAGACAATCAAATATCACCATAATTAACCCCTGATTTTGGATACATATTGGAAAGTTTCTCTCCCCCCCCCACCCCGCTACATAGACATGTCTATCAAAAGAAAAGCAATATTGACAATGACATTGTATAGCACCTGCCCTAGATCCTACTCAGCTCCCTGACAACCTCCTACAGATACCCTGGAATTGAGGAAGAAACTGCTATGGCGGCATTGATGGTGATGATGATGATGATGATGGTGATGGTGATGGTGATGGTGATGATGATGATGGTGATGATAACAACATGATGAACTGAACACTGACCATGGGCCAATGTGCTAGCCACTTTACAAACACTCTTCCCTTTCTTTCCACTACAATGATGAAATATGCACTGTCAGTATCTCTATCTTACATATGAAGATCTAGATAGGGTCACACAGCTGGAAAAGAAGAAGCCAGCATTAAACTTGATGGCCTGAATGCCCAGTGGGCATGATTAGTCACTAAGGGACACAATTTCATCATTTGTGTGGGTAGTGTGCTTTTGCACTCATGTGCTCGTCTGATCCTCAGGAGGCCCTGTGGAGACAATCCCTGCCCCCCATACTAAGCAGTACAAGACAGTCTTCCCTCCTCCCTAAGGCCTTAGGAGTAGCAACAACCCTCCTCACAGATGCCTTGGGCTGAAATTCCAAAATGAGATAGATACTACTTACTTAAATCATGACATTTACCATCTCCTGGAACTGCAGCAGGTGCTACATCCAAGCTACCTCCTAGGGATTAATCAAGGGAGCATGCTCATTGACCTGGTCTATAGGATTAGAGCAAATATGGGACATGCCATACCGTGCAAACAAATGTGCTGGTTTCCAGAAAAAGCAAATTCCAAAGAGTAAAAACCTTATTAATTCAAACCTCAAGGGGCCATAATACATGACCTTGGGTTATCCAACATGTTCATGCCAAGGACATAATGCTCTAGTCAGCTGAAGATATTGTTCTGAGTCTTCTGGAATTATTGTGACTAAATCATTATATAAAAAACACAACAAGTAAATTCAAATCCAAAGCTTCACTGGCCAGTCCTTAGAGAAAGGCCAGACTGCTTAAAACATTTTCTTGTGTGTGCTGGTGAGAATTTGTCCATGGAAGTGGATGTGCGAGTTTCGCAGGTTCTGTGCAACTATTCTTTTCCCCTTCTTCCTCTGGGCATTGCATGTGATTTTAGCTGGGGATAAGGTCCATCTTCCCCTACTATGACTCAGAACATAGGCTATGGGAAGGACCTGGATGCAGACTTGCCTAGTCATGTTCTAGGTACAAGAGGCAGCACAGGGTCCTAGGTCATAGTTCTAACAGTTTGCAGGTCAAAAT